CTAGAATTCATTCTTTCAAGAGAGTTTCTTTATAATACGTGAATTCCTTGTTGAAGAGCAACCATATTATTAAGTTTTTTTTTCTTTAAGAATGTTGTGAGGTTTGCGGTATCAGTTGCTGGGGGGTTTTCAAACAAAGGCTTTCCAAGAATTATAGTCCAGCACTTTCTCATTGCTTCAATGGGTAAGTGCATTGTATTGGCAAGGCAACCAATACACAAAAACGCACTTGAATCATTATACAAAATTCTGGTTACTTTTTGAATACATATTGAAAGTGATTGTAACTTAAAAACATCTTAATGTCTATTTTTAAAAAATTATTTAAATACTACGTATGTGTTCGATAAACAACTACGTTGGATAGATGAATCATCTTTAGTATGAAGTAATCGGAGAGTAATTGATTTCTGATTATACTTTAGTCAATAATTGTAACATTATCTTCCACCGTAATATAAGTTGTTTATTGCATTTTAAGGATTCTTTTTTGACTTTTGAATAATGCACAGATTATATTTATTCTTTTTTATTACTTTGTGTATATAATGGCGATTTAGTTGAGTTTATAAAACTCCACTATTGTTTATATTAATAATTTCTGCTTTATTTCGATGTTTAGAATATGATCGATAGTCATTTTAAGGGAAATTTCATAGTTTCTGTACTCAGAATATAGATTAGAATTGAATATTTTGGTATCTTTTTTCAAAACCATTTAAATTTTTTAAAAAAGATTACGACTACAATTGACTAACTATTTATTTTTTTATTGAGCCTACGTTTAAGTTTCAAGCCATAATCAGATTTACAGAGTACAGAAAACTGTTATAAAGCATCTATGTTATACAGAAATCTTTTAAAATGTTATAAAATGTTTATTATAAGTGTGTTGTCTTATTTACTTGATGAATAGGTGTTAAGTTTTTCCGAGACTCCTAACTATGTATTCGAATTTATGCTACTTATTTGGATGATAATGTTTAACAATCGGTAGAATAATTAAATATATTTGTTTTTGTCGTTAACTATTTATCTTTTATTTAAGTGCAAAAGTATTTAGTTAAAAGATGAATTCTTTTAGGGTTTTTGATTAGTTAAGGAACGGAAATTCAACACGAAAAAAGGGTTAACAGATGAAACCGATTTTCATTCCAATATTCAAGTCATATTCATACAAAATAATATAAAATTAAATAATCACAGAAATGATAAGGTCGAAAATAATATATAAAATAAACGGTATGTCTATGTAAAAATATATTAGATAATTGAATAAAATGCATACTCAATTAGAAATATTTTTATTTTATTAAAATTATTTTAAAAAGTATTCTGTGTTTTACCACTGCGCACACAAATTAATATTCATTAGTTACTTCTTGCATTTACCAACTGGAGTTTCGCACTAATAATGATTTGAAATGCTTTTTAACCAAATGTAGTCAAATATAATCGCCATTATGTTAACCAACTTACCATTTCCTGCCGCCATTTTGTATTCGTTTTGTATGTTGGCCACATTTACATTTATACCATCATCCATGGTATTACAGGTTAGGTTCGTTAATGCGTATAAAAAGCCCACTACATCTAAACCACTATTATTTAAGTATGTTAAAAATGCCGCCGTTTCCGGTATATCGGTAATATGCTGCTTAAGCGCTGCAAAATCACGACTATTCAAAAATGCATAGGCACGTTGCACTTCCGGATCGTTACGATAGTAATTGGCAGCAATTGCTTTAACCTCCGCAACGGGTATTAATGCCACAAAGTCACTCATGTTAATGGGTGTTGTATGTGTATAGGCGTGGTCTCTGCGTAATTCAATTTCACGCGGTGGACCATCCTCGTGTTCCACTGAATCTGATGCTGAAGATGAAACCGATGTTAATGATTCCTCTTCGTCGGATGTTAACAAATCAATTTGATGATAAACCTCAGTTGAATGCTGTTGCTGTTGTTGCTGTTGTTGCTGCTGCTCCTGCTCCTGCTGTTGCGTACGTTGATGTGGCTGTTTTGTTAGGAAAATCAAATCATCAGCTGTATCCATCACGGATTCATTATCGTCATTACTCTCGTCAAGCGTAATAAGCGTTGCTGATGAATTTTTTATACCATCAGTATAATGTACTATCTCTTCCACCATAATTATCTCATCACTGTTGTGTGGGAAACTAAAAACAATTTCACTCAGGAGCAAGGAAAATGCGTACAAGATATGAGACCGAAAAATCATTTTTGATTTAATTATTTAAATTTTATATAATAAAGTTAAAATTTATTAATTTTATATTAATTTATATTTCACTTTGCAAAATAATTTCAGTCAATTTTCACTTATTAATGTTTTCATTTTCATTTTATTATCTCGTGTGAATATATTGTTAAAAATTTGAAAAAAAAAACTTATTTTAAACCGTCATGTTCAATTGTCAACGAGTGACTGTTCCTGTTTTCAAAATATCATTGTGACAATTGAGTTTTATTGTATGTTCTTTAATTTAATAATAATCCAATAAAATAGTTTCATATGCACAGTACAAACGGCATTGTTCCCATAGAACTAAACAATTCTATTTAAAATTATATTTATATAACATTATTTTTATATCTTTCATTATTTTGGGTGTATGTGCACTTACTCTCAAATCTTGTATTTAGTATTTAGCTCTCAATTGATATATTAAAATAGCATACAAAAAATTGTTTATTACAATAATTTTATTAAAATTACCTGGGTAGACGTATATTTACTATTTAAAACTATTATTGTTTAAATTTCTTAATTTGACAACAAAGTTGTGGATAATGAAAGCCACAGATACTGAATAGCAAGATAAGTGCCCAAACTTATCGATGGTATCATCACCGATCAATTATTATATTACATTGCTTATATCCAAAGATGGGTACTTAAAAGATATTTAAATAGAAAGGGAAAAATCTGAAGCCTAGCTTGCATATATGAGAATGCAGGTGTAAACTAGACAGAGCACACCTTTTTCGATTGTAGTAAGAGAACAGAAAAAGAATTGAACTTAGAAGATGATCGGGCCACTTGTAGTTTAAAACTTTATTCCAAAAACGAGGAAATTTGATTCCAATGAACTGGATTATCTTTGCCAAATTTATAGTAGACGTACTGCATATTAAAAATATGAGTTTTGATATTTATTTCCTAACTTTATAGAGAAAAGATAATGACAAAAACAGTAGAAACTGGAATCTCTACGGTACAAAAAAAGTATCGCAGAAATACTGTTTATGAAACATCAAAACATTATGAATGGAATGTGGAACTGAATACAGGTTTTATAGAAGGAATACGGCATGCATAGCTTAAACATGACCCCTCCCCGAAATAATCATCTCGACAAAGAAAAGGAAATAGTACTTGTTTGAAAAAGACCCCTCCCTAAAATAATTTTCCTCTGAGGTACAACTCCCGACGAAGAAAAGAACACAATACGAATGGCTTTGCGCAACCGTTTGTCGGTCTATATTTTTTTAATCGATATCATATTCTACTATAACTTTTTCGTCCCATATCTATTCTTTAAATGTGGGTCGATTTAGTTTCGTTTCAGCTGTGATTCATGGAGAGAGAATTGTCTATTTAACTTTTTTCTCAGAATTCATGAAGCACAAAAGTTAAAAAATTTTATCTTATCATAAATTTTTTTTTGTAAAACACTTTTATAATATTCACTTACTTTGTCATATGCTAGGCTTCTAGAACTTAATTTTGTTCACTTTTTTTAGAATATGTCGAACAGAACGACAAACTTATCAAATCCGTAGTTCCAGAACGAAATCAAGGGAACAATTTTCTAATAGTTGATTGTGATATAGTGTCCTTCAAATAAATAACACAAACCCATTCAGATTCTTGTGTCATATTCCTTCGTTTGTTGTAGTACAATTTACAAAATATATCGGATTATTTTCAAAATTTTCACTTTTATTTTCCAATACAAGTTCACAAACTACATATATAATACATTAACCATGATATTCTACTATATTAATTGTGAAGTCCCTTTGTTTCTGTCGCCCATCTGTTTTCTTGCCCCAACGCGCACACCAATTTAAGTCCAATCGACCTTTGGACTCGTCCCCTTGAAGTAGCTAGGTTTCTTCGACTGGATCCTGGTTAGTTTTAAATTATTCCCACCCCTCCCCCTTCCTTCATCCCAACACTCACTTCCACCTTTTCCATTCCTTATCCCATATATTCGTCTTGTAATCCTTTCATGTTATCTGCTTTCAGGTCCCGGCGGGTTTCAACAACAACAACTATATTATCAAAAAAAAAAAAAGGAATTGTTAACTATTATTGATTGTTTTAAACTATAATTACAGCTTTAAATCAAGTGAATAAATAAACGCCGAATACTTTTTGTCCAATCCAATATTGAGTAAACTTAATCATTTTGTTTAACATATACCTCTACAAATTAATTAATAAATTTTACCATACATATATGGTGTATATGGGTCTGAGTCAAAGTTTTTTATTTATGGAAAATGTAGATTATTAAAGAAACTCTTCCACTTCAAAGCCAACATTGTTTTTGGTGTGAACAAACGAATTTAGAGAATTTAGAAGGCGTCAGAAAATTCATTACCTAGCGAGTAGAGAAAGTTAGAAAAGTTTACTGGCAGCACTTAAAAATTAATTTCCCCGTTTTTGCAAAATATTTTGCATAGTTTTGACGTTTCTAATGCCACCATTCATAACAAAATGCATAATTCAAATGAAATTTTTGACTCTTTTTTTTCCATAAGCGAAATTATAAAAATTTATTGTAGTTAGAGTTGTAGGACTTGGCAAATACTAAGAATGTTAAGTATCTACAGGGGCTCAAAACTTTTGCAGTAAAGCATATGAGTGCAATGAATTAGTAATGTGCAGTACTAAGTGGAAAGTTAGGTACTGCGAAACTCCGGTAATTAACTGTGAACCACAACAAATCCCGGTCGAGCTGAAACTTGCACCTGCGACTCAAATATATCAGAATAGAAAATTGCGCATATTTTCAATAAAAAAAAAAAATTATTTAATTTGTTCGGACTTAAAGGCTTAAAACACAGCCTTTCCCTGCATAAGTTTCCGCAGTCTGTGTAGCAGGGGAGAATACGGAATAAATTTTTAAACTTAATCCAAATTTTTTTTTTTTTCATAAGTTGTTTGTACAAGTGTGTCATTTATTTCCACCTTAACACTTTGCGACAAGACTTTGCGTCTGTAGCAAAACAGTCACAACGAAAACAATAACAACAACAACAGCAATGTTCCGTGCAGAAATAATGGAGACAACTTCAGTAATTTTGTGCAAAGTTCAGCATTAACATTACCGCAAATTAGCAAAAGTTTTCCCCATCCCATACCTTTCGGAATCCCTTTTGTTTTGCTTACTTCGTAGTCATAAATTATGTTGTCTTAACTCTTAAATATTACCAAAAAGTATTTTTGGCAAAAGATTTTATTTCGAATAGGTTCGACTTTACCAGTTTGTAGACCAAGTCACTTTTAAAAATTGAAATTTTTTATTTAAGGCATATGCTACCCTCTGCGGCGAATAAGCTAAGTTCAGTTTATGTTGTTCTTTATAATAAAATGGAAGTATCTTAATACCTAGTTGTTATAACAGAAGTAGTAGTAAGAGCTGTTAAGACAGTTATAGTAGAAGTTGTAGTAATAATAATAACAGTAATAAGAGATAGCAGTCACAATACTAATTATAGTAATAATAGTAATAATAGTATTATAGTAATGTTAGTAATAATTATAATAATAGTAATTAAAGGAATAATTTTTTTTTGTGGCTATAAGGTGTGTGAAATACCTGTCATGGGCCGACAATACCCTCTTTATAGTACCGGTGTACTGGAGCCTTACCGACTAAAACACCATACCTCTTCATCAGGCACACCTCTCTGGGAACACTTTTGTATTACTTTGAAAAAATTCCTGTTTTTCTTGACTTCTTCCTATCTTCATTGTTTGCTAATAGCCTGCGTCAAGACTTCCGCATCATCTAATCTTACTTACGCTTTTCTGCGTTGAAAAATATCTTTTTGGTTCTTACCAAGTGCTCAGCGAATATCCCTACAGCGTTCCAGGCCTCTTCGTTTTGTAGCATTTTATATACAATATTTTTTGCAGTGCATTCTCCGACATTACCTTTGAGCGCTTACTGTCATTGTTAGCAGTGGAGTTCATGTGGTTGGCGTCGTCTTCGCCAGCATCGTTACATATATACAACTGGGATCTGTTGTCTTCCCAATTTCATGGAGGTATTTACGAAAATAACCAAGTCCTGACAGCATTAATAGTTAATTTCGTCAAATTTTCTACTCGTCCACGCATTTATGTCAGTAATCAATTTTGCTGTCTAGCTGCAGTGTGTATCTGCTCACCATTGTTCTTACCGAAACTGTAGTGTTAGTCTTCTAGCTTCTAGTTGATGTTTTCGTTGTTTTGTATCACTGCCCAACAACTTTTCTTTTCTTGAGCTAGGCAGTTGATTGATATGTTCCCACTAATCACTAACACCGTAGCTTCAGTTTTGTGCGGTAGACAGCAGTTACTCTAAGTACTGCTAGTCGCTGAGCTGCTGAGTATTTTTTCCTGTGACATTTTGCATTTAGCGCATCAGCTAAAATGTCGTATAAAGGAATCGAGTCTACAACTGACATCAAAAGGTTTCGCTTGTTTTGCATGGACCCATCCACGTTTGCCATCAATCGATTTAGCGATGCTGTTGCCTTGCCGGCTTTTTCTACCGCCAGTTAACATATGTTTGTGCTAAGTAGGTTAGCTTTGAATCTAATCTGTCACCTAGGTACTTAGCTGCTTTTTGTGTGCTTAGGGTGTTTTTCTAAACTATCATCTCAATTTCAGTTTAGATATGTCCGCTTGTCAGGAGCAGGAGCTTAGTTTTTACTGCTACGGGTTTCAATACATATGCGTCCAGCCAAGCTTTCGTTCTCATCATCATCATATTCAGCTTTCGCTGTGCTTGCTCTGTTTTAGATAACGTTATCGATCCTGCGAAATTTTTTCTGGTTCTATGTCTTATTTTTAGCAATACCTTCACTCATACCTTCACACTATTTAATCCAGACATTTTAAGGTCATTCAGTTGTATTCCATTCTATGCGTGTTTTTGCTACATCATGTGTGGATCTTGTTGATGTGTAAGCAATCCCGATCAAGTTTTCAGTTTTCAGTTTACAGATTTCAGTTTCGACTAAATAGATATTTGTTGAGCTTAGCAGTGGCATATCTGTTTCTGTCATTTGTTGTAAATGCCGTTGACTATAATAAGTGCAATAAAGTAGTTGTCTGCGAGTTATTTGGTGGCCTTTTTGATTGTTAAATCTAGATTCAAAGTAGATTTACTAGCTTGAGAGTGATTGTTATAACTTTACTATAATAAAAATATATTTATTTTTGCTTTCGAAATAAAGATTTATAAATTATTTTATTTTAACTTATTACCCGTAAATATGTCTTGCTTAAAGTTTAAGTAGATAAGATACAATTGATTAAATACTTCCCTACAAATATTTCAATAACATTTCTCATATAATATTTTATTTTTTTTTTTATTCACTTATGACAACTAATTGAATTATTTGCACCGCTCATAACACAGAATACAATGCAAGTTCTCTACTTTAGAAATATCTCACATACTACGGTCTCAGTATCACTAACAAAATATTGTATTTGTAACCCGAGTATCTTTGTAGTGCTGTGATATGCTATTTAGATTGTTTTATTTGCCTGTATGTGCCCTGAACGATTGCGATTT